TTACCCTCAGTTCCCTGTGCTGCCACACTACCCTGCCCCTGGGATGGGGGTAGGGAGCCCAGAGACTCCGTCTGCAGCTGGAAGCCCCTGCAGAAGGTGATAAATCCTGAGGATTTTCCACTCAGCCACCTGTTTTCATACTTTTTTGTTATGCCAGGTCAACAACAACTGGGCACAGACTTTTCTGTGCTATTAGCTGAATGCAAACATTTTGTCCCCCACCACTCCCCGCTCCAAAAAAACCCAACAACCTAGAGAAAAACCACGAAACAGCCACTGGAACAAATAAGACTCAATGGTGATATAATCCCTACCTCGCTGCCATGGAATTAAAGCAAAGAACCAGGCTGAAGCCGATTCCCTCCATTACAATGACTGCTTAAGGAGGCTGGGGCTTTGAGCTGCAGTCATCTTCTGGTGAGAAGAAATAATGACCTCTTTACTTGTCTGTGTTGCTTCCTAATCCCAAGCAGACAGGGTCAGAGAGGCCTTTTTTGTCAGAACAGTTAATAATAAAAATGATAGCAGGTTATGGGGTGCTAACAATTGTGGCGACCTATAAAAAACCCTCACTCCAAAGCAGAGCTGCAACTGCCAGTGTTTTTCCAACCTAAGCTTTTTTTCCTAACCGCTCTTGGTGATACAGCAGAGGATGCGCTAGGGGCACTGGTTAATCCTCCTTCCTGTCTTGCCCATTAAGCTGCGCAGGGCAACGCTTGCCCTCTGATCCGTGGAGAAGAGCGGCAGGTAGCTGTTGCTGTGGATCCTGCCTTTTGCAGGATTACTTCTGTATCTGGAGGGAACAAAACATGACATCATCTCCACGGGAAGAGCTTCTGACAACGCTGCTCACACTGCTAACCTCCGCGTTGGATGCAGGCCCCCCCGGGGCTAAATAAATCGAGAAAACTGGCAAGAGGCCTATTTTAGGCTGAGATTACTAAGACTCCCTTACATCTCTGAAAGGAAGGACGATTAGCTTCTTTCTCAAAAACTCCCTAAATCCGTGATCCGGTTGCCTACAATCTTTTGGTTTTGTTTTATCCTCATAAGGCAGCACCCGTATGCCTCTCTGAGCCCTTTCTTGCTGTCAAGGGCCAGGACTAAGCAAAGAAAAACAGCTCTCTTCTGCTAGGTTGGCTTCACAGCCGTTTGAGGTAGGTGCTCCATCCTCCATCCCAGGAGTGTCAAAGGCACAAAGGGGAATTGGGTGCTAAGGAAAGGGGTCCAGATGAGATGTTGGATCAAGAAGCTGCTGTGGTTTTGTTGATCCTTGAATAATGGAAAAATCTCAGGATAAAGGAGAGCGTCTTTAAACGCAAACCTAGAACGTACCAGGGTGCGAGCAACTGGATGCAAACACTAAGTTTTAGTGCAAGGTATCTAAGCTGCCAGCTGTCTTTGAGACTGTCGCCCCTGAGGCTTTTAAGTACCCGGCCACCAGTCCCCAGGTGCACTAGGCAGCACTACTCTGGAAAAGCTCCTTTTACTCCTTTCCAAGACGACACAGAGGATGAGTGCTCTCATGGATGACACAGAGGATGAGTGCTCTCATGCTAGGATCGGAGAGGCTCCGCTTCATCAGACTGAATGGCCAAACAGCGCAATAATTACCTGCAGCTCCATCTCATTCCCTTCAGTTCCAGATGGTGCAATGCTTTTGATGTCACAGTGTCTGGCTAAGGCTGAGGCTGAAGCGAACAGCCTGCCTGAATGTCAATTCAGACAGGACGGAGGTAATATTAGTGAGCCAAGGAAAGGGCCCTGAGGGGAAGGCAAAAGAAACTTGGATGCATGCCTCTCCCCATCCAACAAGTGTTGGGTGGAGATATCTTGGCATTCTTTGCTGCTCCTGGAATTATAAGGGCTATTGGTAGCCAAAAAACACTTTTTTTCTCCCTACTTACATCTGATTACCAGTTCCCAGGAATTTGCCTACAGCCTGTTTTTGTGACTTGTCATTATGCTACAGTCCTAAATTGCATGCTCACATAATAGTCTTCCACAGGACCCTGCTTCATTGACTGAAATGGAGGAGGGGGGGGGGGAGACTGTGCTCGCTTTGCAAGCCACTGTAGCGTGGTTAAGTGAACAGGGCTCACATGGAGGATCTGGGTTCTGTTCCTCACTCCGCTATTCACTTGCTCTGTGACTGTACCTAGTTTTTTCCCTTCCCGTTCTTCTTGCCCACCAGACACCATTTGCTGGAGGTGGAGTTTGTTTCCTACTGCACGAGACACCCAATCTCTGCTGGAGCCTCTAAGCTGCCACTATGACACAAGTACTTCTAGCACTAATTGAAACTGCATGTGTAGACAGCAGAATATTCATAGGTAACGTGCTCAAGGAATGGCTGTTCCTTGAATGTCTTGCCTACTTATCATGGAAAAGAACAGTAGCATGTGACCTTCCATAGCATCTTAAAACATCTTTCACGTTTCAAAAGACCAAATACTTGTTGTTACAGATCAGACTGCTTTTAGAGGAAGCTCTGCCTCACGACTCCCCAAGAAGGCAGCTTCTTTAGTCTCCCTCTCCTGGCCGACACCACCCTGCCCCTGCTCCCCATTCCCCACAAGCCAGCCCTGATGAGGCTTCACAAGGGGCCAGCTTCTGGCTTCAAACCCCTGGCATCTCCAGTGAGCTGTACTATCCCCAGAACTCCCTTCTTTTATTATCCCAGTGGTTCTCAACCTTTTTTAGACTCAAGGCACTCCTCAGAAAATGCCAGCTCTTAGTTTACACTCTTTTTTGTTTTTTACTACAAATATACATATGTAAAAAATACTACTGCTACTAGAGCAATTCTTTTGTTGCAAAGAACTCCGAAAGACCACAGCAAGTCAGAGTGGTTTGAACACGATGATGGATTTCTGTTTGAAATCTCTGGGTTTATCTTGTGAATCATGGCTGCATGCAAACTTCGCATGGAGCCCCACAGCATGTTTGAAAACAACTCAAGGCACCCCAAGGTGCTGGGGCAGGTAAGGTTGAGGATCACTGGGTTAGCTCGTTGGAAAGGGGGGCAGGGGTGTTTTCTTTTTCAAAGGAGGGGGCAGAGTGCTGACGTCCCAAATAGCCCAGCAGACTGCTCAGCTCCAAACAAACAGTCTTTATTGTGCCACTGCTGTTCCCTCGGCCCTTCCTTGGACTCCAATCTGTCCTCCCTTGGACTACTCCTTCGCTCTGCTCTGTCCTCCCTGACACTGCTCTCATCCTTGCTCTCGCAGAGCCTCACTCCTTCCCCCCCAAGCACAATCAACCACACTGGCCACAAAACCATTACAAAATTATAGTATTAACCCAGTTAATACTGGGTTACTTACCCATTCAGACGAAAAATAATGTTCTGGGGAACCAATCAGAGAGGAGTCTGTGGCCAGGCCTGGGGTGAAAAGGCCATCTAGAAGTCCTACCTACGCAACTATTTACAGCAAAGCCTATTCAGGCTGAGCCCTCCCATAGTGTTTCCCACAAGAACGCAGGCCACAACTCGCAGAAGAGCCCATTTAGCCTCTTTGGTCACAGTGGCAAATATGTTGATCGCAAATATTCCAGGATCAGCTAATGAAATTATATAAACCAACAACTCAGAACAGATTTATATGCCAAACAACTGTGATCTGTTTGCGACACTTCCTGAGAAAGGGGCAGGCATCATTCCCTGAAATGATCTGCTGCAAATTATTAATCCATTTAATTATTAATAACTACAGTCGGTTTTAATTTTCTTTACGTGCTTTGCTATTATGAATATTGTTATGGTGGGAATGGCGGTTGCAACTCCATGGTTGACACTTTGCGAAGAATAAACCCTTCTTTTTCACACTGAAATGCATGAATTTTGTCTCCAATTTTGCTAAATGTTTAGACTATAATTCCAGCCCCAAACAGCAGCATTTGAGCCAAAAATAACAGGAGCCCAGCACTTCCTCATTCCATTACCTAAATCACACTGCTACCAAGAAAAATTTCCCCAAATGATACACTATTACAAACTGCTTCCACAAGGGCAAACCATTGACTCCATTAGCAATCATCCAACACCCCACACTCACGACACTGGCTGCCCACAGAGTCAACTCAATGGTCTTCACGGCTGCTCACAAAGTCAACTCAACAACGTTGCACTGATTCAGTTTTCTGAGCAATTCAAGAACAGCCAGTTCTGCCCCCAGACAGTTGGCGGCAGGGCATGGAGGGAGTGCCAGGTATAGGTTGGGAGCCGGTAGCAAGGATTAGGCAAGGTGCTCGCTAGTGATTTTTCAGTTTTTTATCGTAAGTGGCGGATATAAAACAGCTATTTTCAAGCACTTCTTTTAATACAGGGTAAGAAGGAAGACCAAGACCTCAAGGAGATTTGATGATGAACCAGCCTGAAATTAAGCCTGATTTCATTTCCAGAAATCAGACACAAGAGAGCGTGGTTGGTTTGGGGTTTGGCTTTGCTTAACACTGCTCTTTCAAAAACAAAAACAAAATCTTTCTGGCACTTTGGATCAAAATGTATTCCCGCCCTGCCCGTGAACCACTTTTTACAGCAAAGACAGGTTGCTTGCATGATCAAAGTGCCTTTTGTAACTGTGCTGCTTGCATCGACAAAAGGGACCGTTTCACAAACACTCCCGTTTAAAAGTCTGATCAGAAAAATGACAAATGGTGAATGTGCCTCCCTCCACCCTAGCCTGGAGGGGGAAGTGGCGTGCATTGTGACTTACCTAGAAAGCCCTCTTCATCCACAATGATCGTATAGTCTTCCGGTGTTTCTGTGAGGCTGAAGAACTTGCACCTGCAAAGAAGAACAGGACAGGAGCTTTGTTAGCTGTAGCCTGAGCATAGTCTTTCTGTGCATTCAAATGATATCCGCTGTCGGCCCCATTCCCTGTTCAGAGAGGCTGCACAGTTCAGTGTTGAGGTGCTGCCCTGGGCATCCAAGGACCTGGACTCTATTCTCGGCTCCGCCACTTATCAGTTGTGCGACCCACATTCCCTGCCTTCTGCCTTTCCACCAGGGAGCTACTCATTTCTCTATTAATTTTACAAATCTTTTGTATTATCATAGCAGCTGGGATCCAGTCAGGGGTTGGAACGCTACTGCACTTCCCACATACAGAAAACACACATTTGCTCATTGATTCAACTATGTAAACTCCCTTGTCAACCCTTCAAAAGGCCCGCGTTTATCTCATGCATCCGAAGTGAAATTTCTTGCCCTCACCTTCGAGGCCCTGCATTTCCGACATATCTATTTAAAGGACAGGAGCTCTTCCGCACATCTCAGTGACTTTTTATGTTTTGCCCCTGCAGAATGCCATTCCAGTCCCAAATGTCACCCCCTTTACAAGTACAGTCTCATTCCTCCATACAGATACCTCCTGACAAGTCTCTCTTCACCTACAGCTCCCAACAAAATTGAGGCAATAGCAGCAACATTAATTTAGACGCAAAACAAATCTGAGCTATCTCCTTCTGGGAACCTCCCAGTATATCCCATCTTCTTTGGGCTCCTCTTCTGACAGTGTTAGTCATTTGTGATGGGCCCTCTCTAGTTTGTGTGCCATAATAGTCAACACTTCTTCCAAGCGAAGTGGTCCTGGCACCTACCCTGGGGGTCTTTAAGAGGAGGTTAGATGAACACCTTGCTGGGGTCATTTGACCCCAGTACTCTTTCCTGCCATGGCAGGGGGTCGGACTCGATGATCTGCTCAGGTCCCTTCTGACCCTAGAAACTATGAAACTATAGCATAACATACAATTTGTCACTTTATACTATAATATACAAAAATAAGTGTAACATTGAGATCTGCCATATTAAGTAAATGAAAATCTAATGTTTAACAAGTTACGATAAGGAATATGACTCCTGTTTTATACAGAAGCACGTGTGTATGTGTGTGCATGCAAGCAAACACACACACACACACACACACACACACACACACACACACACACACACACACACACACACTTTTTCTCTCTCGCTCTTCAAAACCTGTAATCCAGATGCTGTCTGGTCATCTCCCAGCAATGGCAGAAACACTGAATTATTCAAATCCTTGCCCAATTTCCCATAAAAATCACTCCATAGCCCATCATCAACAACAACCACACTGTGACTTACACTGGCTTTTCCAGCAGTGCTCTGAAGCAGGCAGACTGAGTGTGCTGCTCAAGTCACAAGAGAAATTTTTCCCTCCAGGAAGCTAAATTTGGTTCGACAGGTTTAGCTTCTGTCTATGCAGACTGAATAGTGGGATTTTTGCAGTGATATTTATAACATTGCCACATTAAGCAGAGGCCAGCTACTGAGATATTTTAAGTCCTGAAAGGACTAGGATTTTTGCTGGGGGTCCCCAAATTTCATCTTGAGGCTCTGTGGGAAAGTCTAGCTGACAATCAGGCCCCAGAGGACTAGTACACAGAGCTACTAAGCATCCAGAGCACTAAGCGGAGTACAGTATGTGGAAGCTGAGGATGCTTCAGCAGTGCTGAGATAGTTTGCATCTGCTCTGTGGGCTAGGCTCTTGCTTGTCCTACGCCAGAAGTGGCATAGCTACATGAAAGCAGTGCTAAGTGCATGCCAATAGGCTCTGCTGGGCTGTGGTGGCATTTTTTCAGCATGATACTGGCTTTATGCTGCAAAGACAAAACCTATGCATCTACAGCTGGGAACTCAGAATTAGAAGTGGTCTTTGAAATTGGTTTTGAGGTTTTCTTCAGCCTGGCTGAAAAGAGCACAGAATGAAGCTTCTCCCTGGAAAATTAACTGAGGCAAAATAATGAGGCATCTGCCAGCCTCCTTCAGCCAGTTGAGTGACGTGAAACCCCCCCCCCCCCCTCCATCACACAGCCTGTCTAGTTTTCTCTGCTTTGACCAACACCAGCTAGGAAATGCATTATGTGCAGCAGACCTGGTAAAAAAAAAAAACAAAAAAAAAACGAAAAAAAAAATCTTCCCATCAAAATTGCTTTTGAACAGGTTATTTGGTTTTCAAGTAAAGATATTTTTGAACAGTGTCTCCGTGCTGTGCAGTACTTTGATTTTTTTTTGTTAAAAGAAGTCTCAGAAGCCCCCCCAAAATAGTTTTCGCTGTATGGACAGAAATCCAACTATTTCAGTTTCTGTATGAGATAATCAGTGTTTGGCCCTGGAAAAAATAGTAGTTCAGTCACCTCATCTCCCCGCTTTCTTCCTTTGGCTGAGACTCTCAGTTGGGCTTATTCTTCTACCATGCATGTGCTACAGTATAGCATCACAGGGAAGTAGGGCTGGAGGGGACCTCAGGAGGTTATCTAGTCTAGCCCCCCGCCCAAGCCAGGATCATCCCTGACTAAGTCATCACAAGCCGGGGGCAACAAGAGACGCCTTCCCGTTTTTCCTGAGAAATCAGGGCAATCAGCTAGTTACTTCAGGTGCCTGTACAGAAATGCGTGGAGCCTGGGACACAAGCAGGAAGAGCCGGAAGTCCTCGCACCA